AGAGAGAGAGAGAGAGAGTTGCTCGAAATTTTCCGCCGAATAAAATCAAAGGATAGCGTTTGTTGATCGATCGACCCAATTTTCTTATGATTCCAAGAGTTTACGCATTCTATAGATATTTTGTACGTCGAAAAGAGTCAAAGGGTCAATCGAAGAACCGCGTTACGGGAGCAACATATGAGAGATCGATATAGAAAAGGTTTGATCAACTAAATTAATAGCTTAGAATGTAAATAACAAAAATGTCCTCCTGTGACATGGCTATAGAGAAACGTCGTGTCTTCCATCAGAATGCAATAAGACAATAAACATTTAATAAATGCAGTATTTAAGATTTGCAGTCTGTAAAAAAATCAAATATTGCATCTTAATCGATTCTAGCTGAATGATATATCAAACTGTATAAATTATTTAGTTAATTTTATAGACTCTTAAAATAATGTGTGTTAAAATAATGTGTGCTATTACTTAAGATTGTTGTCTCGTGCTATTTCATTTTTTTCGCATGTGAGAAAGGTTTCCGATCCTATTTCCAGGTCACAGAATAACATTGGTCGCTTTTAAAGTATTGCAATACTTCGTTGCTTTCTACGATTGTTGAACGACTGACATTGCCGTCTCCGTAATCGCTCTTCCATCCCTGCAGATGCTTGATGAAGTTGTTGTCTGCTCGGAAGGAGCAGCCGCGATTGTCAGTTGTCTTTGTTCCATGTGATCGAGAGTCTTCTCAATAGCACGCAGCCGTTTCTCCAAGCTAGTAGTGCCCAGAATACCCACCTGCAGTTGTGGACCTAGCGGCAGAATCGCAAGCAACCACCACGCCCACGATGGACCGTCCGGTAGACGCGACCAGTCCTCCTCTGTATCTGGCATACGTCCGAACACCCGCTGAATCTCGGACTTCTGAGAGGTTGACACTGTGTCCCACCATCTTCGACCTTTCGCTCGTACCTGTTATGTTAAAGAAATAACGCTCAATTATTGAAAACAGATACCTAAATATTAATAATGATTATATAATTATTTAATAAAAATTGAAATTTCTTTATTGTATCTGTACAGCTTTTACCTTATCATGAAGCTCCAGAAGATTTAACAATTGATCTTCCTGTACGACGGTGTCTCTGAGAAATTCCACCTGTGCTGTATCATAACCATCTTTTTCTCCTCCAGACAGAACCCTAAATCTTCTACCACCAATTGTGCTGAGAATACTGCAGCCATCTTTGAGCAATACTCGATCTCGAATGTCTAGAATAGTTCCATATTCCGCATATCTGAAGAAAATAGAACATCATGTTATTATTTTTTAACAGTCATATTTTTTAAATACATAATAATAATATATGTTAAATTTCAAAAAATCATATACATTATATATACATAAATTATATATATATAAATTGCAAATTAAAAATATTTCAAAATATTTTCTTCGTTTTATACTTTAAATAATTGTAATTTTAAAATAATTTCTTTTTTCATATTTTTAATAATTACGGTTTTATAATGTATTAATAATAATAATTATTTTTCATATTTGAATGACCTTTTCCACTGCCAGTCAATTAATATGATGAATACATTAAAATTGATGAAAAGAGATATAAATCAGAAATTAAACATTTACTACGTTCAGCAGAAAAAAATAGCTTTGCAATTGTTATTGTAAAATTCTTTAATATAATTGATTTATACATTCAGATCCATAAGGAATTAAGAGCAAAAGCCAATCATATCATAGATTTTTACAATAATTGCAAAGCTGCTTTCTCTACTGAACGCAGCCATTAAAAATTGAAGCTATATAGCTCAATATATTAAATATAGTAGTTGTATGAAAAGATATTTATATTTATTGAAAAATTCATAACACCTCTTCGTGCCCGTTGCTTCCTTATTGAGACATGCGGCGATTCCGAATTGGCGTACTCCACTCTCCATACATCTTCTGATCATTAATCTGTATCTAGGTTCATAAACGAATAGAGGGCAGGCAACGCAGGGAAAAGCTGTCGTGCAAATGAAGACGGCGATCTGCTCGTTACCCAAAAGACCTAGTCCCTGAACCAGTTCGAGCTGATGACTCACAGCTCTAGAAGTGTATTCCGCAGGCGCCACTGTTTTAAGTGCTCTTTCTACGAAATCTGTCACAGTTTTCTGACTACTGGCCAGATACTGAAAGCAGAAGAAAATTATTTAATCAGTAAAGTAATTGTAAACATGATTGTGGCATAATAATCAGTATTTGTAATGAATAATTTAAATCGATATACGCGAGTAGTATAAGAAAATGTAATAAAAATATTTAAGATAAAAAACTTAATAATTAAAAAGATAATAAATTAAAAAATAAAAAATTGTTGTTTTTATCTTAATCTATATTTAATAAAAATACTTGTCTATTTTTTCCAACTTCAGAATATTTATAATCCTTGTGAAAAAATATTTGTAGCCAATTTAACATATTTAAATATATTAATAAATAATAAAATTCTAAAAAACACAGTGCAATATATAATATAGTTAATTGCATTTAAACAAAGAAAATATCAAAAAGGAAAAGATTTTTTTAGATAAATTTCAGAATAAAAAAAACAAGAAATGATATGCCGTAAGATCGTCATTGACGTCGTTGTCCTCATCGTCATTAAATATAATACAGACGACCGATAATGACGCCACGAACGCGGAAGCTCGTGACTATCGTCTCGATAACCGCAGACAATAATCATTTCAATCTACGGCATCGTTGCTAATCATTAGAAAGCATCATGTCTCATTTATGGACAGGTGTTGCGAAATATCATGTTTATGTATTTCCTTGAAATTAAAAATTTGTAATAAGCAAATATTTCAAGATATAAATTCTTTGAAGAAAGATGTCAAACACACCAATTATTTACATAAATATAAATTAAAATTGAAAACAATAAAAATTAACTAATAGTTTCGAATAACTATGGCTATTATAAATACTTTAAATTTAAATCTTCCAAACTTCAAATAAATAATCTAAGGAGAATAAAAAATAATTATATTTTCATAAACATGCTCTCATAAACATGCTAAGTTTTGTAATAATATTTGAAAAAGATTAAAATAAAAAAATTCTATGTTTTATAAATTCATTGATTCCATATCATCAGTTCAGACCTTTTCAGAAAATAACGATTGTTTTAAATTTTTTATTTCGAATTCTAAACTTTTTATAATTTCTTGTTTAAAATAATTCTTTGTTATTTAGTAATTAAGTTCTATGAAAAACATAAAAATTAAGATTGTATAAAAACTAATAAAAATTAATAAAAAAATGAAAAATAAGATTATAACAATTTAAATAAGTTATTATATTAATAAACAATCACATTAGATTGCTATGGGAGAATAATGGGTCTGTTTCAAAAATTTTTATATAATTAATTATCATTTATGAAGAAAATTCTCTTACATCAGCCAAAGACGTGACGCACAAGGGACACGCCGAGGAATAATCCAGGCAACGGTCCAGGCACATCCAACAATAGGTATGGCCACAGGGTGTCGTGACGGGTTTCCAAAGCAAGCGGCAACATAAGATGCAATCCAATTCTCCAGCAGTGCCGCTGGAAAGAGTCGGCAAGAGGATTTCGGCAGGTCTTGACTCAATTCCTGTGAACACACAAAGAAGATATTTTGTTTTTGCCTTCATTTGTTGTCTTAAGAAATCTGTCTTAATCGTCTCAAGATATTTTTACAAATATGAAAAAGATTCGCGGAAAATAATACTTACTTTTCAATTTTTCTGCATCTTGGTATAGGCGATTCAAACTTATTTGTAACTTTGTGTTGACTTGCGGTATGATAGTGGACCGAACGCGTCTGTTTACCGTCTGTGAAATAAAAAAATAAAGGGAATAATTAAACCTTGAGTAATTGTGCAAAAGAAGCCGAATAAAATTAGAAATACATTAATAAACAAAATAAAAATTTTCAATAAAATAAATTAAAATATTTAATAAACGTAATATAAAATAAAAAATATTTAGTGCAATTTAGAATAATATTGTCATTTTCCTGTTTACTGTTATTCATATACTATTTCATATACTGTTATTTATACATTCGATTGCCAATGTGTCACAAATAATAGTAATAACTACTGAAAACGTTTAACAAATACTTATTATAATTGCTTTATAATTGCTTATGTCAAATAACACATAATCTAACTCGTGAGCTACTTTTATTAAGCACAAGAAATATTTAACAAGCAAAAGAAATAGATAATTTTCAAAGAAAACTACTTGTGTAAATTCCTCTTCGTCACTGCTGTTGTCTTCGCAATCAGACCTGTTCAGGGCAGTGCATCGGTTGCGCTTGGGATTTATTAGCTGATGGCGATTCCTCGTGCGTGATGCACTCTTTGATAAACTGTACGGCATGCGTGACGACAGGACATTTTGTCGATGTATTCTGGGCAACAATACTTTGTGCAGAATCTGCAACATATGATCACAAACGTTATTACGAACTTGATAATATATGCATCAATTGAATAAATTTGTATAGAGAATATAAAATGACCCACATTTGCCAGAGTAGATTACTTATTCTCTAAAGTAAACTTAATTCAAAGCATTGTTAAAAATATTTAATGCAATATAACATAAATTAATTAAATTTTAGAAATAAATTTACTTAAATTCTATAATTGTACTATTTTATAGTGAAATATCTGATTTAAAAAGATATAAGTGCTAATTAGCAAAATTCTTTAATAAATATATTAGAATTTAGAAATTTCACATTTTACATAGCACATAGATAATTTTAGATTTAATGATTCTTTTGTTATTTTAATGATGTTTTGATTTAATTAGATATAAAATTTTATAAAATTTAATTGGATACAAAATATTCAATATGTACAAAATAAATATGTAAAAAGAGTTTGTGTATAAATAATTTTTTAGTTCTCTTGTATCAAAAAATATAGACTTAGCAAGATATAAAATTCTTTTTTAAAGTACAAAATACGAATTTTATTCTAAATGTAATATTAGAATAAAGAATTACCATTAAAAATTAATAAGCCTGTGAAATAAGAACTGTGAATAAATTTACATATTTATTTTGTACATATTGAATATTTTGTATCCAATTAAATTTTATAAAATTTTATATCTAATTAAATCAAAACATCATTAAAATAACAAAAGAATCGTTAAATCTAAAATTATCTATGTGCTATGTAAAATGTGAAATTTCTAAATTCTAATATATTTATTAAAGAATTTTGCTAATTAGCACTTATATCTTTTCTGCTAGCAATGAACAAACAATTTCAACTTCGGTTTTTTTCAGTAATACAATACATTTCTTGTTTAACTTGCTCTATATATAAAATGTTTCTAGTTGTAAAATCGACGGGTATTTAACTGGTCGCTAAATTGGCGCGATTAACGCATGAAATAACACGATTGAGTAATACGCGAGACGTTTTCGGATGATGAAAGTAAAAGTGCGCGTTCCATAATACGGATCCAACCAGCAGATTCAGCGGCACGGGAAAGAATGATTCCCTGATCTTACATAAGTGGCGATGTAGCTTGCATCAATGATTCTGCCATCGCTCGCTTATGTAATCGCCCTATGTACGAAATTCAACACACTGTTTTTTTAAATTATTTAGCATCGAAATTTGACGCGACCTGTCGCATTGAATTATTTGATATTTATCGATTGTTACCATCACGCAATCACGTTTCGCAGATATTCACGTGTGATGTAATATTGCGAAATTTAACGTCAATCGAGCTTCAGTGTTATACATTAATCGAAATTCAGAATAATATTTATAATTATATCTCGGATATAAGTTTTACAATAAATATTCAATATTATCTGAGTTGTGCCTGTTTAAAAGATATTTAAACATTTCTAGAGATGCTTAAGATCTCTAGATTCAGACCTTTATGTAAGAAAATCTTTGTGTGTACGTAAGCTGAAGATATAAAGTGATACTTATTACATGAAAATGACATTAACAGATCAACGAATAAGAATTTTTCGAAAAGACGAATGAGAAGTGTATATTATTTAATATAAATTTGACGCGGAAGGAAAGCATTTTGCATTATGTAGAAGATGGAGAACGCAGCAGCGTGGGGCTGTGCGTCACACGGCAGAAGATCAATATATCGACGGCGCCGTGAGCCGCGTGAAACAACACGTGGAAACGGCGCATTTACTCGCGATAATAGCATCGGTTCGCTCGCTCCTGCGAATGTGGTTATCATTGTGCCCCTGGCGTGCGGGTCACTCACCTGACGACGACTATCGTACCGAGTCATTAAGGCTGCACGGCCAGCAACAGTCATACCGGAAATACCGCGGCGCGCATTTTTCTTTTGTGTCGGTGATATTCTCCGGATAGAGATGGATGCATCGGTTCGTTCTGTCGCGGCTGGCACATTCCGCCAATCGATAGCGATAGCGATTGCGACTGCCACATTGAGGAGTGCAGACTCTCTTACTTAAAATCGGATTGTCTACGATTTGTCCTAATTCTTTTAAAGTAATGTTATGTAAATTTGATAAATACGTGTAACTCGATTTGCTCGAAGTAAATCAAATTTGTCTCAGCAATTTCTTAGTCATCGAGAGACTTCTCTACAGATGCGATACAGATTTTACGATGTAAAGTAGATTTTAATTTCTTTATTTATTGATGTTGCAAATAGGCAATTAATTTCATATGTATTCCACCTTTAAGATTTATCCAAACTTATCATATAGCAAAACTCATATTTTGTAAGCTTACGTATTTTGAGATTGAAATACATTATTTCTCATTAATTTCTAATAATTTTTAATAAAAAAAAAAGAAAAAAGAAAAAAGAATGTACCTTGGTCAATTCATGTCGCACAGCTTGTAGATTTTTGTCAATAGCCACACTAATGCAAAGAGCATAGAGTGCTTCTTCGTGTCTTCCAAGTGCCGACAAAGCAATTCCTCTTCTATAATGTCCCTAAAAATAAAAAATAAAAATATTATATTATAAAAATGTAAGTATCATTCTTAAATAACATTATCATAGCAATTATAAATATAATTATCTGTTCTGATATGATAGTAATAAGATAGTAATGAAATTTATATTATTATATAAAAATATTAAAGTTAGCGTACACATTTATTCTTGCATGTGAAAAAATGATGAAAATCAAAAATAAAATAAAGATAAATGAATTTTCAGATATTAAATTTTATATCAATTATTTATCATATTTTGCTAAATTTGAGTTAGGAATAAAGACTTAAAAATTTTAAAATATATTTTAATTCAAAGCACACATTTTGTTATATCTAACAAATCTCTCTGCTAGATCTATCTAGTGTAAATCTAAATTTGATTATATGTAAACATTAATCCTATATTTTCTCACCTTGCCCCAGTCTGGTCGCAATCTAACTGCATGATCAGCGTCCGTGAGAGCGGCTAGAGGCCTATTCAACAGGAGTAAGACGTGAGCCCTGTTGCTAAGGTGGAGCGGACTATTTGGTGCTGAAAAACGTGAGAAAACAACATCGTAAAATGTCTATGAATGGTTTCGACGACGAGTTTGGAATATCTTAGAATTATCTTGATAATCGAGAAATAAATTTTAATCGAAATATAATTTCATTCTATTCTAAAGTATTTTGAAAGTTGAACAAATATTTAATCAATATTTGTCTCATAATTAATGGCTAGTATTATGAGTTACATATATCATATAAAACAATAGAAATGCAAAACAGGTAACCTGCAAGGTTTGCCTAAATAATAATTGTATATATTTGATAGCATAATTGCTCGTTATAAAGATGTTTTATTTGCACGTTTATACGTTTACAATATGATGTAATGATATAACTTTACACACTTGTATGATATATAACGGATTAAGTGAGTATTCAAAAAAGCATTGCGTCATCGGTGCATATTTTGCATAAGAATACACTTATAAATGTGATCGAGTATAAACTCTGTAAATAATATAAAAGTTTTTTTACTTCTTTTAAATTTCGTAGAAATTTGGCTCACAAAAAAGCGTCATTTATTTACGACAAGTAAAGCGTATTTCATAAAAGTGATCATGGACGATGCCATCGGCCGATGCAGACGGCGGCGACGCATCCTGGCATTGTGAACAATGTCATTGCCTCCGCGCAGCTAGAGTCCCTTACTTGGTTAGAGAAAATTTCCGATACATATGCATATCGCAAATGCTAAACATGACATTTTATGCTTTACAACAAAATAAATTAAAAAAGAAATGTGTTTTAAATAAACTTTTCTTTAATATGCTGAAAAATTTCATTATTTAAAATTTGTACAAAATTTAAATATTATTAAAATAAATACTTTTTCTAAATTTGTTTGTATGTATGTAAAGTACGGCAATAAGAAAATTATAAGAAAATTATAAAAAATGAATTTTGTATTAATTTATTACTTAAGATAAAATTTAAGAATCCAATATTATATTTTGTAAAAATTATGTAAAAAAATTAGTTGGACTATCAGATTTATGTAAATAATTAAAATAATGGGTTGGTAAAAAATTTGATAAAATTTAGTTTGTCTGAAAAGGAATCGTTTAAATTTCTGCCGTTTCATTATTAATATTAACATAGAACATTTCAATTGTTTGATTCATTTATATTGTTTGAAAAATATTACATAAATAATTATCTAAAAATATGTAAATATTTTATGATATAGTTAAGAAAGATAATTATTTATTTATGGAAGTTCATTCTATTAAATGATAAATTTGAGATCTATCATTGTACAATTTCTAACATGACGACAAGTTGTGATTACCTGAATTTACCTATGCGTAAACATTTATTCCTAAGATAAACAAAAAGTTGGACATACATAATCATTAAACGCTCGTTAGTTATAATGATGATAGTCTTAGAATTATGATGGATTTGCAATTTTGCTCGGGAAACATTAACTTTAACATCTGATATATTGAACAAATATGAAGAGCAATACCCATAAACTGGCTTATGTAACTTGTCTTGAAACGTCTCGTTGTGACGTTCGAGTCGAAGACGCAACACAAAGAAACCTTAGCACTACGCAACATTACTGTGTATGTATATATAAGCTTCTTATATTTATATTTAAAAAATTTTTGTAAAATTACTGTTGAATTATATATATTTAATTTATTTATATTTAGTATGTGTTATTTATTATTAATATGATTATTACTATATTACTAACATATCTTTATGTTAATTTTTGTTTTAGGAAAATAAAGTTTATAATTATTTTATAGTTAAATTAATAATTTAATATTAAATTAATATCATATATTATTCATTAAAATACAATAGAAACAATCAAATTAGTTTTATAATTTCTTTTAATCAGAAGAATTAATTACGTGATTATGATATATCATAATCATATAATTAATTCTTCTAATCATATTATCATGATAATATAATCGTGATCATAAAATAATAAAAATTAAAATCGAGAATTAATTGATCGATCTATTAATAGAGATTATACAAAATTGCTTCAGTTTGCATTTTTTTTGGCCTTATTATTACCTACACATTATGATATTTCATAGACAATTCATCTAGAAAAATTGAATTCTGCTTCCGACTGCGATTACGTAAGTATTCATATGCAATTAAATACGGGTAAAAAAACATAATTTTCCGCGTGAATGTGTTAAGCTATAAGAAATATGTACAACGGGATACCAATGAACAAGTTCATTCATTAGCGCGATCATTCTTCGAATGCTGTTCGTGTGCTGTAAAAAGCGCTCTTCCTGTCTGTTCGATCTATTGCCAAGGTCCGCCTCGGATGATCGATCACTTGCTCACCGCAGGCAATCGACCTGTTCGTTAGAGCGCACGCTTCCTAATGATTTTTCATTTAGATTATAAATCTGTCATTATCATTAATTCTAATCAATCGCGCGATAAGCATTGAATCTCTATTTCCAAAAAAAAAGTTAAAATTAAATCTTTCTTAAAAACATCTACAATTTTTGATATTTTAAAAAGTTGTAAAGAATAATTTAATTTAATAATTTAATAAATTATGCGGATATTATTGTATAAATTTTACATTCTTATTTCTTTTAAGACTTGTGAAATTTTGAAGTGTCATTGAATTATATACATTGAAGTTTAGTAATAAAAATACACTAATTTGAGTCGTTTAGAGTTTATGACCTAAAAATATTTATTTATTTAAATCTCAGTAAACTCTAAATCAGTCGATTGATGATAATAATTATCTTTATTTTTGTAATAATTTATCAAGTATAATATTCTCTATATTCTTTGAATTGCAAATTTATTAAAATAAAGCACAAATTTGAAACTCAAAAATGTCTGACTGTTTAGAAGTAGCTTCTTTGAACCTTCAACGCTAATTAATATAAAAACAGAAACAAATTGAATTTTGTAAATATAAAATAAAGACAATGTTCATCTTGTTGAAAGAGTAAATGCATTTCCGTCATATTAACAAAATTCCTAAATTGCACAAAGACGCACTGACGAGCATTGAGAGATTCGATACCGCCTGTGCAACCAGGCGCGACAGACGGCTGCTGACCTTCGTTGGAAAGAAGACGAGCGGTATGGAACGGGAGAAAAAGAGAGGAAAAGAGAGGGACTGCCTGTGCCGAGTTCGAGAACCGAGTTAACAGAGCGTCATACGGAACATATATATATATACTGTTGTACAGCGTTCACGTGAAAATCAGAATAAGAACTGCTGCAGCATATGCTGTCGAGCTTGTGCATTCTCGGCATTCCCGAGAATTGAAATCATGACAGATAGCGCGTGATTAGAATATACGGACTATCTATTTTTCATAGATTATAGATAATAAGTTAATAAATTTTTTATTATTTCAAAAAAATAGCATTTCTATGCAAAATGCATTTGATAAAAAATTTATGAGTGTTCGCAATCATCTTAAAGTTTTTATTTAATTATTAAGATGCAAATCAAAGTTCAGTTAAAACCAAATAGAATTGAACGTTTATTGAGAGAATATTTATATATATATATAT